AGCTAGACACCAAACCTCTGTCTCCAAACTCTAAAAGAAGAAAATGTAGAAAGTGCAAGTGGGCTCCAAGAATTGCCAAAGGCTTTAATTAACGTTTGCAAAGAATTTTCAAGATGAAAGCCACCACAGAAGAGCTAAATCTTAACTATCACTGCAACTGGAATGATTTGCTAATTTTTTTTCATGATTTAAAGTAATTTTGAAACAAATTCCATGACAGAAAAAGATGAACAACCTCCCAAAGAGGGAGTTCCAGTCATTCATCATGTTATCAAAGACAATGAGAGGGCCAAGGCCCACTTCTGTGCAGGGTCTACTGCCATCATGAAAGTACATATTTGACACACCTGACCAATACGACAGCCTGTGGGGACTCAGCATCAATTAGTTGGGAGAGAGTCAAGGAATACCCTTACTAACATGCCGATCCAGCACTCCACTACATTTGCTGTTGCAGATCCGTTATAATACAGCGGGCATGCCAAAACATAATCTAAGGCCAAATTCTAATAAAACAAACTTCATACTGGCCCCTAAACATTTCATACTCTCATACTGGTATTGAGTATGATCCTTTTATAAGCTCTAGACATAATTCACTTGAAAAAAATTCTTCATACTAAAATCTAATTGAACAAAGTTAACTTTTTATAGTTTATTCATTTAAATAATGTATATTGAGTGGCAAACAATAAAATTTAAATCAATATTGAATGTGACAAGTTCCTGATCTTAGAAATATAGCAGTGAACAAAACAGAAAAAATCTCTATCCTAATGAGACTTACATTTTAGGTGAAGAAAATAGACATTATATAAAATAACCAAATTATATAGCATTTTAGAAACTGGAAGTATAGTGAAGAAAAGTTAAAAAGTGAAAGGGAGGTAAGTGGAGTGGGGGGGTGTGATTGTATTTTATTCAGGGTTATTATAGTAGGCTTACCAAGAAGGTGAAATGTGTCAGGTTTGCATAACTAATTGGCATGTTCGAGTTTCCTGAGGATGGTTATTCAGTTCATCTTTTGTAAAATTTATTTATGAAAAGATTAAAAAGAGGATTACTTTGAAATAAGGTGTTTAGGGAAAAGAATAGTTTGTTTGTTTGTTTCAAAAAGTGGTGCAGAGACAACTGAATACCCACATGTAAAATAAAAAAGTTGGATTCCTACCTCACTCCATATACAAAAATTAACTTAAAATGAATCAATGACCTAAATATAAGAGCTAAAACTATAAAACTCTTAAATGAAAACACAGTCACAAATCTTCATGACTTTGGATTTGGCAATGGATTCTTACATTTGACACCAAAAGCACTGTATAACAAAAGAAAAAAAAAAAGATAAATTCAATTTCATAAAATTAAAAACTTTTGTACAGCAGAGGACATTATGAAGGACATGAAAAGAACATCTAAAGAATGGAAGAAAATATTTGCCAATCATCTATCTGTTAGGAGTTTAACATTCTGAAAATATAAAGCATTCTTACAACTCAACACCAAAAAGACAAACAACCCAATTAAAAAATGTGCAAAAGACTTGAATTGACATTTCTCCAAAGAAGATATACAGATGGCCATTAAGCACATGAAAGATGATCAATGTCACCGATCATTAAGGAATGCAAATCAAAACTACAATGAGATAACTCTTCACAGCCATTAGGATGGCTTTAATCAAAATAATGAAAGATAACAAATGTTGGAAAAGATGTAGAGAAATAAGAACCCTTGAACATTCTTGGTGGGAATGTACAATAGCACAGCCACTTTGGAAAATGGTTCCTCAAAAAGTTAAATATAGAATTACCATATGACTCAGCAATTTCACTCTTATGTATATACCTAAGCAAAATGAAAACATGCCCACATAGAAACTTGTACATGAATGTGTATAGTAGCACAAAAGGTGAAATAGACAATAGGTGAAAAAAATCTAAATGGTAATCAAAGGATGAATGGATAAATAAGTTTTGGTATATACATCTGATGGAATATTATTCAGCCATAAAAAGGAATAAAGTATTGATACATGCTACAACTTGGATGAACTTTAAAAGTATTATGCTAAGTGACAGAAATCAGACACAAAATGTCAAATGTTGTTGAGTTCCTTTTGTGTAATATATCCAGAAAGGCAAATCCACTGAGACAGAAAGCAGACTAGAGGTCCCCGAGGGACTGGGGATGAGAGAGTCAGGAGTAATATTTAATGGGTATGGGTGTTTTATGAGGTGATGAAAATCTTTGATATTAGAGAGAGCTGGTAGTTACACAACATAGGAATATATTATGCACCACTAAACCATACACTTTCAAATGGTTAATTGTATGTTATGTGAATTTTACCTTAATGAAGAAAAACAGATTTAGTCATTCAAAAAAATTTTTTCATCAAATTGTCAGGATCACATATTGTGTTTTATATTCAAATTTCAGTTCTATTCATTCTGCCTTTAATCTATTTGTGAAACTGTAATCTTTTTAAAACATAGTTTTATTGAGATACATTCACATACAATAGAATTCACCCATTTACATGTACATTTTAATGAATTTTGGTAAATGTATGTAGTTCAGCAACACCACTGCAATTGAATTTTAAAAAGCACTCAACACCCCAACAAGTTCCCTCAAGTCTCCTTACAGTCAATCTCCATTCCCACATATTTTCTGTCTTTTCATATATTCTGCCTTTTCTCGAGTTTTGTATAAATGAAAGAATACAGGATATAGTCATATTTCTGGCTTCTCTCACTTAATACAGTATGTTTGAGGTTCATTCATGTTGTTTTATGTTTCAGTAGTTTGTTTCTGTACATTTCTGAATAATTTAGTATATTAAGTTTACAAGTTTAGGTCATTAGATAGTTTCCATTTTTTAGGTATCATAAATAAAGCTTTTATGGATATTTATACACAGGCTTTTGTGTGGACATAAGTTTCCACCTCTCTTCAGTAGCTACTAAAGAAAGTAGAGGAGTAGAATTGCTTGTTTTTATGTTTAACTTTTTAAGAAACTGTCAAATTTTTCCAAAGTGGCTGAGTCATTTTTCGCTCCCACCAGCCATGTACGCAGGTTCCAATTGTTCATATTCTGGCCAAAACTTAATATTGCGAACTTTTAAATTACAGTTATTCTAGTGATTATGTAGTGATAGCTCTTTGTGAATTAAATTTTAACTTCTCTAAGGATTAATGATGCTGAGCATATTTTTGTGTTATTAACCCTTGTACATCTTCTTTTATAAAGTGTCTATTTGAATCTTTTGCCCATTTTTAAAGAGCTACTTGTCTTATTTTGAGTTTTAAGAGCTCTTTAAATATCCCAGATACGAGTCCTTTATAGATATATGTTTTGCAGATATTTTCTTCCAATTTGTTGCTGACCTCTTGATTTAATTAACATTATTTTTGGATGAGAACAATTTTTAATTCTGATGATGTCTAACTCACCGACTTTTTCTTTTATAGTCTGCACTTTATGTGCCCTATCTAAGAAATCTTTGCTTAACCCAAGTTCAAAAAGATTTTTCTCCTATTTCTTTTAGAATTTTGGCATTATTTAATTCTTTTGTTTAGAACTATGATCCACTTAGAATTAATTTCTAAGTGTACTGTTTGGGTTAATGCTCACATTTTTTCCTTAAAAATATACAGATATCCCATTATTTCAATACATTTCCCCATTGAATTATTTCAATAACTTTGTCAAAAATTATTGATCATGTAAATGTGAGTTTAGATCCAGACTTTAAATTCCATTTTCTAGTGACTATTTTTTTTCCCCCTGAGATTGGGTCACATTCTCCTGTTCTTTACATGTCCAGTAATCTGATTAAAAGCTAGGCATTGTATATGTCATATATTGTAGTGACTCTGTATTCTATTTCGTTCTTTTGAAATTCACTGGTTTTCTTGTTTTACCATCTGATAAACTTGCTTGGTCTCAAACTGAAAAGCCTGTTTCTCTGTAGAGAGCCAAAAGTTTTATTCAGCTCTCTCTCTCTCTCTCTTTTTTTTTTCTTTTCTTTTGCCTGGATCTCTGAGGGATCTCTCTTGTGCCTGCATAGCTTTGTGATCAGCCAATGATTTCAGCACAGTTTACACATAGACAGTTCAAGCCAGTGAAGCTTCTGCTTTCTGCCACCCAAACTGTGTATGGGTTGAGACATCACTTAAATTTGTAGCAAATAAGTAAGTCTCCCAGACTTTCCATTTGCTTGTGCTCCCTAGGGGAGTACCATGTGAACATGATATGTAGCAGTAAAGATCATATTATCTCAGCCCTTCTATAGCTCTTTGCTTCCAACATCTCCCCCTTAAATTTCTAGCTGCTCTGGTACTTTCCCAAACCAAATAAGCTACCTCTAGCCAGTAAACCTGTGGGTTTTTAATACCAGACGGGCCTGGGGGAGGGATGAGAATACCCTCAGGTGAGAGCATCTTACCCAGTGCAGCAGCAGTTTTTCATAAGTAAACATTTTCAAGTTCTTTGTTATCTTTGATCATTTGTGAAATGGTTGCATTCAATGATTTTTCCAGTTTTATTCCTTTTTGTTTTTTTGAGACTCACCCAACCAACTGAGGCAGGCAATCATTAGTGAAAGTAGACTCTTAAGCACTTATGAATATATTATCATTATCTCATGTATTGTTACATGAAATCAAACATATTACTTCAAAAATTAACCAATCACAGCAGGAAAAGAACATTTTTCTTGCTTACAGACATTAAATTTCAGATTCAATTTCTACAGGTTTGCTAGAAACAGTAAACAAAAGCATATAATTAAGGTGACTGTGGTCTGTTAACCCCACTAAGGTCTTTAAAATACACATTAGGTCCCAGTAAAATTTTAAACACATAAAGTTTTTAGATGAAAGAGTAGATTCAGTTTAGAACCAGACCCCTTGTTGGAAAAAGAAAAGCATTATTAAGTATGGAGTATGTCTCTTCAAATGCAGAGGGTTCATTTTAATTTTAAGAAAGTTACCTTGAAGGCTGCTAAACAATGAAGGCTCAGTAAGGTCATCACAACCGCCAGAAGGATGGTGGCTAAATTCCGCACATCCCATACGGTCTCTACCAGAGGAATACTGCCGACCTGCCAGTCATAGCTCAGGGTTACAGGGGCGAGCAGAAGCCACGTGTTGAAGGCCAAGAGGTAGGAATAGGTAAGGAACCTACAAAGGGAAGAAGAATTGCTGAAACATAATTCAAGATCCATGACATTTTGGAAACATTATTCACTCTGTTTCAATTAAACAGCATTTCCATACTGTTAATATTAAATCATAGGAAAAGACAAGGTAAGACGGAACGCCATGTATGTTTTTAGTCATTAAATTGATAATTTTAGAATATACCTAAAAGTTCTAGTCATGGTGGTACATGCTAGCCTTTCAATGGTGAACAAGACCTAGTTTCTATGACATATACTTAAAAATGATCATACAAATGAATACATTACAACCTGACATAAGTGCTATGAAGAAAAAGTTTGATAAAGGTATAACAGAAATATTACCATCTTGGGTATGATTTCCTGGGTAAGAGACATTTGAATTGTCCCTTTTTAATACGATCCAGAATCCTGTAGTAGATATGAAAATATTTAATCATTTTTACAACAGACTAATTACCATTTTATAGCAGATTGAACAATACTGAATTATTAACAAAAAATCAAAATATCTATGGTAGGGAGATAAAGTCTCTTATTTATAAATGAAGAAACGAGCCTTCAAGAGAAGGCAACTATAGCTAGCTGTCCTTGCTAATAGTAATAGTCTGATGGACCTAAGAAGGACAATAATGGAAACGAAAATAAGAGAAATAACGTTCTATTTTCTGGCTGTGTCTAGGCACTAAGGTGAAGTGAATGGCACTCTAATGGACTCCCTTTGTTTCAGGGTAGAGAAAATTGAATTTATTTAAATTTTTTCAGTCAATACAAATTCATTAAGTAGTTCTAGACCCTGGAGAATTTCAGAACTCTGAGTACATAACATACTCTATCTCAACCTCTGCACCAGGAGACAATCAAACCCTAGCATAGTTCCTAGGAACATAAGGTCATGTTCCTAGGATGACCCAGCTCCCCTTCCTCTCCCCCATTAAAATGCCTGCCTGAGAAAGCTCATCCCTGTCAGAATTTATTGTTTGTTCTAGCTAATACCTGAGGAGTAGCTCCTGACCTCCCTTTCTTAGAGCATTTACTTCATAGATCTTACAATTGTGACTATGTATCTCTTACAATTCAGAAGTGTCTTTCTCAAGGACCTGAGAGCCATTGCATTAAAAAGTACTCATCAGGAAGGATAGGGCATGTCTCCCAGTCTCTGTGGGAAAACAGAATCCTAATTTCAATACTGCCAGCCTGCAGACTCAGCCAGCCTAATCACATTTACACTGACCCGCTCTTTGTAATTTTTTTACTTCTCTGACTCTGTTGAGCCCCATTTTACCCCCTTCTCTTATTCTCCCTTTAAAATGTCTGATAACCACTGCACAAATCAGAATGACGCTCAACTCTTGCCCCTACTGTCAGTACTTACTGAATAAAATCTATTTTCACTGCTTTAAATAATGTCCAGCTGTGTTTACCTTTGATACCTTATGTGAGATTAAACAGAATAATTAGATACATTCTTTGTCCTCAAAGAATGTACAATCCAATAGTGAAAATAAGAGGTACAGAACTAAAGAAGCACAATAAGATGAGCACAGTTAGAGTGCAGAATGTAAAGAAAAGTTCTCACTTTGTCAGATTCTTTTAGAGGGATTCTTGGCTTGGCAAAGAGGTTAGATGAGAGAACCTCTAAGTTCCTTTCCAATGTGATGAGTCAAATCACCTTGAATTCCTCTCAGCAAGCGGGTACTAGTTTGGAACATTCTTCCCAGAACTTTCCAACTGATCTCCATCTCTTTCTTTCTATTCCTTCAAGGTTAGCAATGGAAGATCATTAACAATGATCAAGTGAGGCTCAAGGATGGGGATTAATCATTGGCCTGACTCTCAAACCCGGAAGAGAAATAGGTTCAAAGAGTGGAGATATTTCAATGGTGTTTCTCAATACTCTCCTCTCTGTTGTTATTTTAAATAAAATTTAATGTACCAATAATGTAGTATATACTGAAATCTTGATGAAATCCAAGCTTTGTTATTTAACAAAAATTAAAACAAAAAGAATTGCCATATCTCTTGTAGGCTTGGGTCTGAGAAATGTCTCAGGAGAATGCAAACTCCATAGAAAGGTGCTTGGGTCACTTTGGGCTCTTTTTTCTCACAGAGCTTCTAAGCTGATGCTACTGACTTAGCCCAGCAAGATTCTTTGTGACTTAGCTTTGGAGAAGAAGGCCGAACTGTCAAACTTAGCAGGAAAATCACACAGCTCTGTGGCTCAGTGACACTCCAAGTCTTAAAAATTACTTTTAAAAATACTAGCTATAAAAATATCATAGCTATAAGCAATGATTATAAATGGCACTAAAATGATTATAAATGGCAGCTAAAATTATTAGGTGAAAAGCAATGGAGTACTTTTTAATGGATGGATGAGGCTAAATCAAATGCCTAGAACTTACTGATCAATTTTAATATCACAGAAAGAGAGACCAACAGCCAGATGTCCTCCTGATGGATATACATAGCACCACCTATGAAGTAGTTTTGCCAAAAAAAAAAATTTAACTAGAATAGGGTCAAGTTCTTCAATATTAGTTTATCTCAAACATGGAAAACACCGAAATATGCTAAAGACACCACAGGGGTGCAATGTGGAAAATGCAGAATATTGCAAATTCCAAAGAACAAATGATGGCAGTTTCTTCAACAAATGAGGAGGGGGGAGAGACAGAGGCAGGGAGGGTGGTAGAAAGAAGAGGGTACCTATATATTAAAAGAGACCTAAAGGAATATCAAAGTGCAGATTTTGTTTAGATGCTAATTCAGACAACTATTAAATATAACCACTTATGAGACAGAAAAATTAAAATGTTGATTGAATATATGATACTAGAAAATCATTGTTAATTTTTAAAGTGTGATAATCATATTGTGGTTATATTTTTAAAGATCTTCATCTTTTAGAAATAGATACTAAAATATATGCATATGAAATGAGATGATGTCTGTGATTTGCTTCAAAAATGGTGGACTGGAAACAAGGGAGAAGAAGTAGGTGGGGATATGAATGAAAGAAGATTGGCCACAAGTTATAATTGTTGAAACTGGATATGAGTTTGGAGAGGTTCTTTATGCTATTTTCTCTACTTTCGTACATGTTTGATATTTTCCATAATAAAAACTATTTGTAGTGGAAAATAGTGGAAAAGGCAACAGAATTGCAATAAGAATACTTTCTTATGTCTAGCTGCATCTTGACCATGGAACAGCTGCAAATGCTATGCTGAAATCTTCATTTTATTTTTTAAATGCCAGTTTATTTATTTTTTCCATACCATATATACATAATTTTTTTAACATTTTATTTTTTTATTTTCCCCCTCCATCCTCTCCCCTCCCTTCTGGTACAAAATCTATATGTTAATATTAAGCTCACATTTTGGTCTTGCTATGCAAGTTGTCCTCAGTTTCATATACACACACACACACACACACACACATATATACATATATGTATATATATATTTGTAACACCATACTGATGAAAAAGCAAATATAAAGAATGATATTTTTTTAAAAGTTACAATTTCAATGTAATTATTGAGATTTTTTTAATGCTCATTGTGACTTTTTACAGATTGTAACCCAAATAAGTTAAAGAAGTAAAGTAAACCATACACTAAAAGCAACTTCCCCTTCCTATAACACTAGAAAAGTCAAAACTATTAACTTATTCCAAGACTACTAACTCACTTCTTTAAATACATGTGTATTATCTACATAACTCGAGACATCACCTACCTTCTGGTGCATATGAATTCAGGTTAATGTTGCTACTAAACTCTTTAAGTACTACTTGAAATACTGAAAGAGCATTGGAAAATTTTTGCAAATTTAAACATAAAGAAGCCTTGGAATGATGCCAAATGCTAATTACATTTTAGGGGCTTAGTTGAGCCAGCTGTAATCAGCAACTACAGTATTTCTTTTTAACTCATTGACGATGAATTACATTTCAAATTCATCATCTTGTTTATTTCTGCTAAAATTTCAGAAATGAAATAATATGTTGAACATCTCTGCCCTTCTGGGTTCTCTTTCTTTAAAGCAGGAACAAAACCAAAATGAATTGTTTAACAATTTTCTATCATGAAATCTGCTAACAGGGGAAAGCCACTAGGATATCTTGTCAATGAAATCAAATATATAGCATAGGAAGCCAGGAATTCAGCTTAAATGATTTAGTCATGTATTTTCATCGATAAGCCAGGAAATACAAAAAAGGGAAAAGGAAGAAGAGGCTGTGGGGGGAATTATGCATCATATGGCACCTAATGAAACTGGGTGGCTCTTTAAATCTAAATCTTCATTTTTATAAAAAAAAAAAATAGAGTGTTTTAAGTGCAAAAATATACATAGATTTTGTCCTTTGCCTTTGAGAAACACTTTTCTGGTGAAGAAATAAGGTAAGACCAACACATTTCTTTGTTCTAGAAAGATGCCTAAGATAGGTACATATGAAAATGTCACTACTACAAGCAGAAATATACAGCACTTGCTTTTTTTATATAAAATTGTTACTGCTCAAAGTTTCCTTCACCAAAAAAAAATCCTTCATTTTTTCATAAAAACAGGATATTGAGTTGACTGTATTTACATTGTCTCCTCTTGGAAAAGGCATTGGCTAAACTGTCAGCGTACCAGCCTCAGTGTAAACTCCTTTTACCAGCCTCAGCAGAGCAACCCACCCGATTCTGCCTTTACCCACTAGTTTTGGTGACCTGTCCTGCCCCTCCTTAGGCTATCCCCTATTTTCGACTCCTGAATTACCACTGATGCTTCGAAATGGTCTCCATAGTCTCTCTGTGCCCCAGCAATAATGAAAGGTCTTTTCCAGGCATAACCTGCTTATATCATCACTAGTACCTTCTCTTCTTGCCTATCACCTTCCCCAGGACTAACCAAAGAAAGCTACTTCCTATACCACTCTTCTCCTAAAGCAAGAAATCCTCGCTAGAATTCAATAATGGTACTGTGTACTTTTCTAGGTACTGA